TCGGATGATGATATTCTGCTTCAAATTTTTAACAAAAATATAAAAAAGCGAGTTTTAATGAAATTTATGAAACGATATCAAGTGTGATGAATTTGATATTTGTAAAAATTATATTTAAATTTTGCATATATTGCAATGATATTTTCATAGCCAACTACATAGTAAAAAAATTACAAACATGTCATTACAAATATTTTAAGTTGAAAAAAGTACATGTCAAAAGGACTTTTTTATTTTCAACTACAGAGATATTTTTGAGCCAAACTTGATATATTAAAAAAACAGAAATTTAAAACAATATATGAAAAAATGGAACTTGATAAAAATCCACAAAATTTATTAACTCTTTGAGAATGTATGCACATAAAACATACAAGGATTCTCAACATTCACATGCATGAACATCTTGGATGGATGATCATGCATCCATTTCAAATATATGATAATTTTTAAAATTTACATTTTTTTTATCGATTCACAATCTTATGATGTGATGGCTCTAAGCTGTTGTGAACAAAGATGTTATAAAAAAATGACATATGCAGAGTAATACAGTCAAGGAATACATACAAATTTTAATGACTTTAGATTTTCATTGACAATGTTGTGGTGTCTTGAATTCAAACGATTGAAAACTTCAATGTCATTAAAAAATAAGGAGTCATATAAATCCACAATGCAACATATTGCAATCTGATATATTGTTTAGAGATTGATAATTTGATACAACAAATTACAATAATTATTATATGATATTGTTAGGAAATTTTTCATTTGAAAGAGATCTCTAAAAAGCTTATACAACTTCTTGGTACGACTATTCAAGATAGTAATAATCACATGTTAACTTGGATTTATTGATTTATTAAGACAAAAGATTGTTTGGACCAGTATTGCAAGAGCCCATGACATTTATCTTCAAAGATGAATGTTAAAAACGTATAAACAACATAATTATCTTTTTGAGGTTATTCATATAAAACGTGAAGAACCATGTGGAACTCAAATTGGTATCAAAATTTTTATTTTAAAATTTTACTTTGTATATTATAAAGAGGCATTAGAATTTATCCGGTTGATTTCAAACAGTTATTTATATGGCTCTGATTGAAATTTGTTGCAAAATAGTTCAATTTCTAGAGCAAAATCTTTGTTATCAAACTTCCAACATTCATTTGAATAAATGATGTGTATACTGTTATGAATATACTAGATTAAAAGTCATGCTAACTTATACTAATCTACAAAAAATTATATATCAATCTTAAAAAATATAAAAAAATGTCATATTTAAATTTTATGAATAAAGCTATGTGAAAAATTTGGAAATAGATTTGGAAATTCGGAAGCTTGGTCTTAAATTTATATAAAGTTAGAAAGTTCACAAATTCCTGTGTGATTGATGACCATGTTTTTTTTTACGTCAAATGCGCATGTAAAGAAAATCGAATCTTAAGGTTTTGCTAATCTTTTACCTTTGCAAGTTAAAATACAGTAACACACCTGATGTGATTCATTTGTTGGTACATTCAGCATGTTATTGAAGAAACTTTTAAACTTTTTGTAACACAAAAGAAATGATAAGAACATGATGTGGACTTTCATGTAACTAAATCCAACGGAAAAAAACAGACAGTACACCACCTTGATAGAAGAATTCTGACTTCCATATCACCTTTCTCATATGGAGCTTGGGAATAAAAACCAACCTCAATCGCCATGAAGTAAATTTTCGGGGTGAGAGAAATAATGCTCAATAAGTGCAGGTTAAGTCCTATGGAGTAAGTTGTTCAGAGTTCCTAAACTTTAGACAGACTGATATGACTCCAGCCAGAAGAGAAACTTTAGATTCTACATGTTATGGTATAATGTTTCACGCACCATGTTCTGAATATATATATGTCTAGCGACTCATGTCAATTGGTTGAGCTTTTAAAACCCCATTAGCTCAAAGATGGTTACACCCTCCGTTTTTAACCAGACATCAAATTGTGTAGTATCAAGAGTTCTACACTGAAGTCTACATTCTCTTACATCACCACCAGTTCAATCTAATCCTATATATCATTGTGTTAGTTCATCCACTGTTTGTTCGAATCCATTTCTCCACTTCTGTAAGATCTATGAAGTAGTGATTTTCAAGAATTGATGTTTCTGAACCGCAGAGTAACAAAATGATGAGAGTGATGAGAAACGAAGGAAAAATGATTATTCCTAGGGTGAGTACAATAGACGATAAGCCTTTCAAAGAAAAACAAGGCTTCATACTCAGCGTCATATTCCCTCGACCAGAGTAAACTTGAATTACAATGCATGAGAATTTAATATCTATTTGATGTGAATGACAACAGATGAAAATTTCACCACGACTTGAAACAGGTGACAAAGTGATATACCAAAAAGTATGAGAGGACGCATCAATCTTTATGAGAACTAGTTCGTTAACATGTGGCTACGTCTCAATATCATCATTAGATTTGTAAACGTACAACATTTGGATTAAGTGTATAGGCATTGAAATATGGTGACACGTGTCATGTACTACAATTCACTCTTCAAAGTCCAAGTGTACTTACCCTGCATGAAGGAAACATATAGACAACTGCATGACAGTTTTAATTTAATGATGTCAGCTTCACAATCTTTACGACCAAAAACGAGTATGGATGTATATATTTTGAATCGACATGTGTTAAATTGTTTTCAATGCTTTCGGAAATTGTATAAGTTTTTAAGATAATTGGATAACATTTATAACTTTAAGTTACTTTCATCAGTACTTTTTTATTTTCATTTTGTGCCCAATTTCTACATGCATAGATGATAGTCCCTTAAAACATAAGATTTTATTCAAAGATTACAAGTTCAATGATAATGCATTACTTACAACAGTAAATATTTGGATTATAATAACGCTAGTTAGATAGTGATGGTTGAAAATTAAGATATGTCAGATCAACATTCTTTTTGCATTTTATTACTTATATTACGATTATATGATTATTTATCAATTCTAATTTGAAAATTATACTCCTTTGAAATCAACTTATTTTTCATGTCTTTTTATTGAGCTAATTGCTTAATGAAAAGCTTAATTTCAGATGACAATGTTACTTTCTAAGTAGAATATGAAGATTTTTTCACACAAAGCAACGTTGCAACCATAAATAGCAATTGCAGATTGTTAGTAGAATATCAGATTTTAATCTTACCCAATAATGCAACATTAGATAGCAATTGCAGACTCTGTATTGGTTGCGAATAGATTAGATTCGCTACCAATGTAATTTGCATGTACTGTTTGAATTATTTTGTATTGTTTAAACAAAATCTATCATGATTATACATATCATGGGCGGAATGAATGACATAACATATTAATTGCCATCATAAAGGTGAAATAAGAGATTTGCAACATAGTCATACATATTTTCTAATCATGTGAATGAATAGACTTGTTAATGATACAAAGAGATAACAATTTAAGGATTGTGGGCTCATTGATCCTTATCATCATGTTGGACTGAATCTCTATTATCCTTGATGTAGTTACCAATTAAGTAGACTCTTCATTCAGTTACACATGTTTGAACCTTGAATTGTAAGTAAACACTATCGGTTATAACTGTGTTTCTTACTTAGTCCATGACTTAGCTCTAAAGAGATAAAACATAATCTTGAACCAGTAATTCTTAATATGTTGATGATGGACCTTTTTCATTAATACTCAAACTTTTTGGAAACAGTAGGACATCATAGTTAGTTAGTTTGACTCAAGAATGACATTAGCCGATATCAAGACGTGTAGCATCTCATGTTAGGATTGGAGCTGTATTGTTGAGCTAAATTTGTACGACTTAGGGGCAGATGCAGATGCTCGACGATGATTATGTGCTTTGCAAATTTAAGAGACGTATACAAGGATTCAAGCATTGTTCTGAGGTAATCGGGCTATTTTGTCAAATGGATTGCAACTTTTAAAGTTATTGCGAGCATGCGAGTGACCGACTACAGTGCAGACGCAGTTTGTATATTTCACAACAGTGAAGTGCACTGTTCATTACATTTCTCATCTTACGACTTGCAACGTTATGCATCGAGAGTGCAATTGTGGTTGCAACTTCTCGCGAGATACATTACCAAGATTCAACCCTTATATACTGAACTCACACCGTCGATCGGGAGTCTCATTCTCTCCTTAGCCGAACCCAAAAAGCTTTATCGAGGTCCTGCAAAGTTGGACATGAGACACTTCACCCTCCGCATCCATTTCATCATTGATTTTCTGTTATCTCTCAACTCTCAAATTGGAGCATAGCAGAATCGGTTTAGGATAGTTCCTTCGTTTTCTTTTCTTCTGTCCTTGAACATCATAAGTATTGCTTTACAAACAAATCAATCAATGCAGAAACCACAGGGTTTAGGGTTTCCCCTAGATCGGAACACCTAGATGGATCGAGCACAGTGAAGGTCACCATTCACAATATACAAACCCACATTGTTAGGCAAGAGCTTTTCAACAATTTCAAGCCAACAGAAAGCTACAAACACGACCAAAGTACAACGGCAAGATCTCACCCTGTTAACTCAGTGTATACCCACTATAACCATTTTACTGTATGCATATTACTGTGACATAAACATCATGCTCCATGTTAACCAGAAACTACAGCTACAGTCACTACAAGTACAGCTCCACTGCAGTGGCGCGCCATCTCGTCGTGTGTCAAAGGCACATACAAATGTGTCCAGCCTTAATGAAACTCCTGCATTCGAAGATGAACTAGACCCGCATATAATGATATCAGTAACCAGAAGTGATTAAAACAAAAACTAAGTCAGATGTCGAAATGTATATGCAAATACACAAAGACTGCAAGGACTCAGCAAAAGATTAGAACAGTACAGCTAGAAACTCGAAAGGTGGTATCCGTCCCAGATAATGAGCCTTTTGACACTAGAAACCAAATGTATGTTACCAATTCTGTCGATATTCTACTGCATGTACACCAGAGTATCTTCAAACGTTTAGCTGTAAATTCTGTAATGATTTGATCAGTTTACATACAGTACACGCTCAGACCCGTTATGAAGAGAAACAACCAGGCCAGTCCTAGTCCAAGAAAAAACTCTACCAAGATGTCTCACGAGCTGGACACAGTCAAGCCGTCAATCAAGCCATGACAATTCTCATCAGGGGCTGGCTCTCTATAGATCCAGACCCAAACATGTCCTGCACGGCATGCAAAGACCTGGGTTACATATCGAGACAAGATATCCAGAACTCTAAAAGCTTCCTTATCACCAAAGATACCTTCAAACCATTCCTGCTACCTACTCTGACGTTAGACTCTTCATCTGATTGTACAATCTGCTCATGATGCCACTATTTCTAGCGTTGGTGAGGAATCGATGTTGAGCCATGGCCTTGAAGCTTTCACCCGAGAAACCCCTGTACAAAAAATGCAGTAGCTATGCTACAGCAATCACCTAGTCTTACAAATTATCCAATTCTATGTTTCATGATATCCGCGGGGACGGGATATGCCTCATCATCATCCTCTTCCCATACATCATCCAAACCAGTGTGCACCCCTTGACCTATTTCTTCGTCGTCCGAGTCCCCTACTCCAGACCAAGACTTAAAGCCATCAGCAATCCTCTTCTCTATCACGGAGTCTGGTTCGTCAGAAACAGGTGCCTCAAGAAGCTCCACGCCTCGCAAGTGAGATCCATAAAACTCCCCAGCATCCATAATTACAGCTGCCTTGCGTCGCAGAAAGAAGGCAGTCCCGGCCAGCAATATTGAGGTACCCCAGCAAACGACCTCATAACACCAAAAAAGGGCAATAGAACATTCCGTTTCCAGCGTAAGAATACTGGATCCAAGAAACAAGGCCAAGAGTACGAACACGGCCACGAATGAAATGTTCAGAGTGGCAAGGCACCGTACACCACCTGAAGGGAGAAAAAACCCACAGAGCTACGATTATATAATGATGCAAAACAACAAAAGCTCAGAACATGTTAGCCATCCCAAACTTCGGATCTACGAGAAATAACAGTATGAAAAAGGGGGTACTTCCGGCACCAGAGGAAGTATACAGAATGGAATCCCAATTACCGAAGCATTCGAAGGTATAAAGAACAATAATAGTTTCAAACTTCGAAACTGCTAAAGACTCTGCAGAAACTGGGGCTAGAAGAGTTTCTCATATCCCCTAGCCTATCTTGCCCCTGCTTAAGCTCAGTGATTTTATCTCAAATACTTTTTACCCAATAGAAGTGATAGTAAACTCAGGGGTGTGCGGGCAGCAGTAACCTACCACGTCGAGATGCGCAGCAGTTATTCTCCACAACTTGAAGGCACGAATGCCTTTCAGGAGCTGAGTAGGCAACAGAAATACCTGTACATTACAAGGATAGAAGTTTCAGACTCAAACTTCTAAAAGTCAGCGATTGAATTACTGACGACAGGCAGAACCTTCACCTTTACACGTGTCAATGTCACTCAAACCTATGCACAGACTAAGTAGACACTATGATTAAACGAACTAGGAATCCTGCAAACGTTCTCAATGTTTTCAACAGGCTGGCTGATAGAAAGAACAACTGTTCACTTTCCGGAAGCCATGATGTACTTCCTGGACTCATCTAACTAACAAAGTATAAACTCAAATTTCCAGTCACCTCACGAGTAAATTTTAGTATTGATATGCTAAATTTACAAAAACAGGAGAAACGATTGACACATGAAAATAAGATATACGGAAGAGCAAAATATATCCTCCGCTTCGCTCCTGGGTTTCTTAGACCATAACACATCAAAATGGCCAATTTGTAAAGTACATCTCACCTGCAAAAAGATAGACCACGGCAACCCCAAACACAATGGACGTAGGCAAGAACACAACGATCCAAAAGTACTGAGCCGCCTCCTCTTCTGTGAGCAGATAAGATGCCCGTGAATCTCCGTTCATAACAGGATCAGGATCGATTTGCAAGCTCTCCAATCTCTTCTTTTGACAAAAAGGCCACTCCTGATCGGTCACGGCAAAAACAACATCTATCATGATTGCTGAAGCAATGACCACGCAGGTCCAGATTATCACGACGACTGTCATCAAACAGGGCCTTGCCAGTCTCCTCCATGCCCGTTCCTCTTCCCGGAGCAACTCATAATCGTCCTTAGACATAAATGCTTGGCGCAAGGCATCGCCGGCTGCCTGCCTCATTTTTCTCAACTTCAATGGCTACCCAGAGTCAGAATAGATACTTCGCTAAAGAAGGCGTTGATCTCGTCGAAAGCAACGCCTTCTAATCAATCGCCTGGGTACGAGTCCTGGATCTCTTCTTCACGTCATGCCCTCAGGCCCGTCACCAGTACTCCACGAGTATTTCCACCATTTTAGTAAGTGTCGGACGTGAGAAATCTCACACGGATATGCCTCGGTACAGCTCGAGTTTCATCCGCGAGTAACAACTTCTTGAACAGCCAGCGATGCAAATCTTTCTTTCGGCAAAAGCTGATGATTTCCAAATCTTTTCAAAGAATAAAGGGATGCTTTCTTCACGGGGTTTCCCGCGCTCTGACCCTGAACCTGAAGCATTCAGGTCGGCAAACCTACCATCAGCAACTCATACAAGTTGATGATCCCGGACTCACAAGTCACTTTGCAAATTGAGCTGTATAGAGTATCAACGAGCAAGCCTCACATGGGACTTCCCACAGCAGTATTTGAAAACACGTCAGTCCCTCTATTTCAGCCCGCCCGAAAACAACCGATCAAACCCAAAAGTCGCTCGATTCTTCTTTCCTGTATTCAACCCCCTATCAATCAGTTCACTTTATTAGGCCCCATTCCTGTCTTGGCAAATCCCATGATCCCGATAAGCAACCAACAGAGCTCCGGTGGAACAATCCGAAATTCTATGAAACCCCACTCCCTCAAGCCACCCTAACGCAAATCAATCTCCCTGTGATGATCTCCAAGACTCCTCTGCCACGACCTTCTCCTCGTCCGAGAAGGGCCCTTTCGATGTCTCTCCTCAAACGCAAAGCGCCTCCAAAGAAATATGGAAGAAGGTAAAAACTGCCCACAAGTCGCAGATGTTTTACTGTAATAATTCCTATCCACAGTTTCAGAGCAGATCAGCTCACGACGGAACAGAGGTTATAAACTCACCACAGCGCAAGGACAAACTCCACTCAGTGCTTCTCATCTCATCTACTACCCGCTCGATCGCAGAAATCCGCAGAACAAAACCACACCATCGCCAAATGCTTGGTTCATTCCATGCTGCGCGACCGATCGTCGGGGCGGTAGTCTAGCGGAATTCGATGGACAGTTCGAACGAGGAGCGCGCGTGCGGCAGAGGGCGAAGTGATTGGATCCTTGGACGCAACTTGCGACCGAGACAGCGGATCCCGTGCAAGCCCTTCTTTCCTTCGAGCCGCGCCCTTCATCTGATCCAAACAGACCCCGCGCTCTCTGTCTTCCGCGCTCCGACGGTCACATCTGTCACCTACACCAACCGGTCGGACTGGCTCAGCGGTCCGATCTGCCTGGGGAACCGGTGCGCGTCGGTCATGTCAGCCATCGACGCCTGTCGAGTTCGCAGGCGACGGGTGGCTCGCGGGACGATTATGCGAATACTGTACAAGTCGGGAGTTCCGCATTGGGTTCGATGGAACACTGGAAGGTGTCCGTCGTGGAGCCAGATTCACCGGATGTCTGGTCCGGTGGGCCGGTAAAGTGGAAGACAAAGAAATCCGTGCGGGTCAGGAGCCGGAAGGTTCCGAGGCGAACATGTGAACCGTGACGATCCGTACTCTGGGCAGTAGGCCTGACAAAGTCCGTCAACCCTATAGTCTAAAGATCCCAGATTCTCCCACAGATAAACTCCGATTGTCATGTGTAATAAAGGTACCCCAACTTTGCCATCGTGGACTTGTGGATCTGCATTAGACAAGACAAATGGATGAACCCAGTGGGTACGTTAATAACTTTTAAATTGCACTAACTCTACTCTTATTAATTTCAGTGTATACTGTCTTCTTCTCTACTTTCCTCTAATCAATCAATTTACTTTCCGTCTCTTAATATCGTTATTTTCGTTTGTTAATTGGCGTTCATACTAAGACATTGCTTCGGTGCAGCGCCAAAACCATTATATGAGCAAAATATTTTTCTAATGATGTATGGTTCACTGGAATGTTTGATGCGACTTCTGATTATTTTTTGAGCTATGCAAAACAAGTTTCCAAACTGACTAACGATCTGAAGAAGAAGTATAACAATAATTATATTTTGCCCTTTTTTTAAGGTTTTTTCTCTCTTTCAGATGACCGTAATAAAATCTTAATTATCCTAAATTTTATATTTAAAAAAAAAATCCACAGCGAGTTACCTTTGAGATCTTCAGTCATATTTCAGTTGCTTCAACTGAAATATGACTCCACGATCTCATAATAATGATAATTTGACCAAGATTAAAATTTCTTATCGTAATGCATTCTCTTATTGGTTAATAGAATTTCACTAAAGAGAACGATGTTATCATTTTAATAGCTCATTTGTGACTAAGCAATGTCAAACATGTTCATCAACAACCAACCTATATAGATGAAAGCATGTACATGTATTATACCTTTAAACAAAAATCTTCAATATAAATTTATTCAGTATCAACTAAATAGAGCAAAATATGAATTTAATAAATCTGAATATCATCCAAGAGGAAAGAGGTAGACTGGAGCTGTAAAGAAGCTGGAAAAGCATGGACAAAGTACATTTATTTAAATTTTCTTGATTAATGTGATGCATGTGAGGATCATAATATAAAAACAGATAATTATTTATGAATAAATCAATCGATTGTTAAAACACAATCTTTAAAAATAATAATGATTCGATGTCAATATCCCTTATTTTATTTATAATCTTAATTATAGATAGATCCAAAAGATTTTAAGTATTGAGAAAATGAAACAAATGTCATACGTTAAGAAAATATCTTTGATCTTTTAACCAGATAGCGTAATTTGCTACTTAAATTATGGTATTTTTTTTTCTAGAATAAATTGTATTATGATTATTTGTAATACAGATTTTCAATCTATGCATTCGTCTTGAAGTGTAAACATATGTTTCATTATAGTTTTTGCCCATCTAAATTATGTGTGATGATTTTAGTTAGAATGAAAATAGAGATTCTTCAAGATAAAAATATAGTTGATTTCTAGAGTGTTATATATAGTTAACATTTCAATAATTCATACACTTGATAAGTAAAATTATGAATTTGTTATTTGAAAAAATATATCTGAATATATGTGCCATGTCATTGCTCCACAAAGAGTGAGATAATAAAATGACTTAGCATCTCTTTATACATGCAGTGAAGATATATAGAAGCAAAAGCATAATCATTGTAAAGATTTTTCATGTTTCAAGTTTGTGTATTATATTTTAAATTATCTTTTGTTTTTGTTCAAAATAACATCAAATCTCTACTTTGCATCTACATATATAATCAATGATTTGATATTATATAGTTTAATCGAACATAAGATTAAATGTTATTATGCAATGACACATTTTTATCCATTCAAATTATAGAATAGCGGAAGAGTTAAAATGCGAGAATACAACTAATATGAAGTAATTTGAAATAATAAAATTGATTTTTTGATAATAAATGTGCCAAAAAATTATATCCTGAAGTATTGTGATTTGTGTGCTGATATTTGTATCAAATTTAACTATGAAAGTGTTTTGATTATTTATTATGAATCTGAAATTGAGATATTTCATCGAAAGACATGTAATCAATCACATTTTCAAAAAATATTTTGATTAATTACTTAATATTAACTCTCATGAAGAGTCAAACTTACTTTACATAATAAATTTTTCATTGATAAAACAATTTATCACACACAATTTTTCGAAAAATATTTAAAAAATAAATGAATTTATCTTTCATCTTATATAGTTGTAATTATAATTGTGATGATGTTAACTATTATATGATTTATTTTTACTGATATATCAATTGTAGATTTTACTAATCAAATCAAAAGAATCGCCATAACATTGATCAATTTAAAAATTCGAAAATTTTCTTTATCCTTATTTTAAGGTGAAAACATGCCATTGAAGACATGCCATATAATAATCAAAATATAGAGTGTTGATTAACTTTCATTATAATATTTTTTCTTAAAAGTTTTGAATTGAAAAACATATTTTTGTGAAGTTTTAATTTTGTTGAAACAGTGATTTGAATATTGAGCGAAATTTAGTACATGAAAATTTGCATTTTTTCTAATGATATGATCTTTGCTTTAGTGGAATATTTGAAAGATTAGAAACAGAAATTATTGCTTTGTTTGTGTAAACTAAAATATGTTATTTTATTACATATTCCTTTAAATAAATATTATTTATATCACTCTAGCTCTAATAAATATTTAATTCATAATTGATATTAAAAATGTTAACAATTTTTGAGAAAATTATGAAATTAAATTAAATAACTTAAATATATTAACATAATACAATAACTTATTGATTGAAAAATCAGATTCTATTACAGAGCAATTAGATGAAATTTATTATTTTGCGCTAGCTAGCTAATGTAGCTTGTATTGTTTAAAATCATTCAATTAATAAAAACTTATATTAGCTCCTAGCACTTACATGTTGACATTTGCGATGAAAACTTATTAGATTGATATTAACCATCAAAGTAACAAAAATTCAAATTTTATATTCAAATTTATTTCAACTATAAGAGATAATAGCATTATAATCAGTTCAATTTTTATACTAAATGATATGAAAAATTTTAAGCTTGTGAATAGGCTTTCAATGTAAGATAAATATAACATGTACAAATATAATATTACCTTATTACATCACATATTATTAAAACAATCAACTTAATTTATATAGCTAGAGGATATAGTTATCGAGTTTTTGACCTTTATACTGAAGTGACATATTTTAGTTTCAGTTCGTATGATTAAACACATCATGCTTCATTAATGATACTATAGCCATTTATTTATACTTTAAAAATATTTCATTACAGTGAGTGTAATGTTAAAATTTTTATATATGAATTTATCTCGGCCTCGAAGTGTTTACTATCCTTTGCATTGATATAATAAATCAATCATGGAGGGTCAATTGAGAATTTCTTAACTCATACGCCTAAAGCAACTTCTGAATATAAAAGTACATGTGTTACATAATAACATGTAAACTTCGAAGTTTAAATATAATGATGGATTTAACTAGAAGGAAGAGATTAAAAATTGAACATGTTTTTGATATGTTCGATAACATTACCGTAAGAAAAAGCAAGGACACTCTGCAATTTCAGCTGTCTTCATCTCCAACATCTCACCCTAGTTCGACTGTCTTTATCTACATGAGACCACAAACCAGATGATGCAGAAGATGCCTATAATGAGTCACACTTTTATTTATTATGTCTGTTTTAGAAATGCGCTCCCACCCAAAACTCAACAGATATTCGATACTCGCTCATGGTGGTATCAATATCACGGATGACTAAGCTTACTTGGCTGAATACATACCATAAACGCCTTCGTTGCCTGCCATCTACGCTGTAACCATTATTCTTTTGGTCCAAAGTTGGTGGCTATGGCATATTATATCCTTGTCAATTCCGGGTGAAGTAACGTGATATGGTTGAAAGTGGACTTAGAGTCTTGAGCAAGTTGCAATAGATCCTCTACAATGTTTTAAAGGTTTTCAAATGAGTACGGTGGGACGGCAGCCAGCCCACGTACCAGATATTTAAAAATCGAGATTACTCTAGAAACTTGAAGGATTTACTTGATGAGACCCCTGAGTAACGAAAATAGATTACTGAGACCCATCGCGTTTCATTTTACCCGATGGACCCCATGTTCTAATCAAGTTCTTCTAAGTCTCAAAACTGCCGAAGCTTTGTGCGATTTGTACATCACCTACCTCAGATATTATTTAGGCTCCCATCATTCTCAACGTGGTTTTCTTTTACAATGTGCGGCACTTGAACTTTTTTTGAAAGTAGGAAGCTTACTTCCTTCTTGCGACATCGCTGCACATACTCGTGCAGCGACATCTTCTTCTCGTCCAGCTTCTCAAACATGCGCACCGATGTTTTCTGAAAACTGTACAGTTGTGCTCCCGAAGTGTTTCCAAAGCGCCCCGCGAAATCTGATATTAGAACATCACCGATTATCTGCCGTTCACGGGGTCCAATCGGGTAGAATGAAACATGATGAGTCTCAGTAAGCGAGTTGTGTTACTTAGGGGTCCCATCAAGTAAATGTCTCCTAGAAACTTGCAAGGACTCTTTCAATGAATATATGAACGAATAATAATAATAAAAAAGCCAAGACTTGATGTTTGAAATCAAAACTGCCATGAGA